CCTGTACCATGGCACGAGAACCCTGATGCTGAGAGTTGCCCGGTGCTCGAGGGAAAAACCTAGCAATGTGACCCGGATCATCACAAGTGCAACAAGCCCTCGGCTGCTGAGACTACTGGCCCTGGCGACCTGAATGACCACCTCGAAAACTCTGAAGTGACAGTGCACTGATAGGAGCAGGTGGTGCACTGCTTATCGGAATACTGCATCTGGGGACCACGACTACCTGAAGCTCCGTGAGAAACTGAAGTGTTGACTGAAAAGGCCTAGGAGGATGGCCTCTACCATATGAATCTCTACCTCCAGATGAGGTACCACTGAATCTGCCTGAATGACGGGGCCTCTTGTTTGCCCCATGACCACCCCCCTATGATAGTACCATCTCAACTCTCCAGGCCACATTGGCCGCCTCCTGGAAGGATATCTCACTCCCAGCCTCTCTAGCCATCTGGAGACGAATCGGCTGAATGAGTTCATCAATAAACCGTCTCATTCTCTCCCTCTCAGTGGGAAGTATAATAAGGGCATGGCGAGCCAAATCTATGAATCTGATCTCGTACTGGGTGACAGTCATGGATCCCTGCTGAAGGCGCTCGAACTGCCTCCGATAGGTCTCTCGCTGTGTAATAGGGAGGAACTTCTCCAGAAATAGTTGTGTGAACTGCTCCCAGGTCAAGGCTGGCGATCCTGCTGGCCTAGCTAAGCAATAATCCCTCCATCAAGTCTTGGCGGATCCAGACAAGCGATATGTAGCAAAATCAACCCCATTGGTCTCAACAATCCCCATGTTTTGAAGAACCTCGTGACAACTGTCCATATAATCCCGGGGATCCTCAGTAGATATACCGCTGAAGGTAGTAGTGAAGAGCTTGGTAAACCTGTCCAATCTCCACAAAGCATCGGCAGACATGGCTGCACCATCGCTGGTCTGATCTACCATACCAGGCTGAACCGCTCCAACTGGCTGAGCTGCTGGAGTCTGAAACTGGGGAGCTACCTGCTCCGGAGTGCGAGTAGCAGGAGTCTGGGCTGCTCTTCCAGCCTGAGACACGGCTGGTGCTACAGGAAGTAAACCTCCCCTGGTGACACTCTCCATGAGGCCCACTAGACGGACCAGAGCATCCTGAAGAACTGGGGTGGCAATAAACCCCTCTGGGACCTGAGCTGAGCCCACTGGAACTGCTGGAGCCGGAACCTCGTCATCAAAGTCAACATGAGGCTCCGCTGCTGGTGCTGCTGCTCGGGGCTGAGCTCTGCCCCTGCCTCGGCCTCTAGCACGGCCTCGGCCTCGCCCTCTGCCCCTCGTGGGAGCTACTGCTGGGGACTCGAGCTGCTGATCGGTAGATGAGGAAGCGCGTGTTCTCGCCATCTGTGAAAGAACAGAGTAGAAATTCAATTAGCGTTGAGAAACCAAACCGCACGACAAGAAAGAACAAATGTGAGATTTTTCCTAACTTTGTAGCCTCTGGGGATAAATACAGACGTCTCCGTACCGATCCCTCAGACTCTACTAAGCTTGTCTGTGAACTGTGAGACCCATGTAACCTAGAGCTCTGATACCAACTTGTCATGATCCGGATTTCCCTCCCTCGGGATCGTGATGGCGCCTACTATTGGGAGCTAGGCAAGCCAAAAACGTAACTACTTACTTTGTTAACAAATTACTTCTTTTTAACAAATATAAGCGATAACATGAAATCACGGAACTTTAAATAATTAAGCAGAAGATAACAATAAAATATCTGGAATCAACGTCTATTACAACTTCTAAAACCTCAAATACCCAAAATCTGGTGTCACAGTGTCACAGACTATCAAAGATTACTACATACAAGGTCTGAAGAATAACAGTACACTGTTTCTGAATAAAAGAGAAGGAAACAGGAAACAGAGATAGAGGGAGACGCCAGGGCCTGCGGACGCCTGCAGGTCTTGGGTCTCCGGGTGGACTGAAGGAAGCCCTCCAACTACTGTCCGAAAGCTGCTCCGGGATCTGCACACAACGCAGAGTGTAGTATCAGCACAACCGACCCCATGTGGTGGTAAGTGCCTAACCTAACTTCGGCGAAGTAGTGACAAGGCTAGGACCATACTACCAAATAAACCTGTGTAGTTTAAATATATACAGCGGAAAAAGAAATACAGAAATAACCAGTCAATGTGGGGAGGGAAAACATGTTGTGGGGGAGATAATAGTTCTGAATAGAAAGGCATCAAGTAAAGAAAGGAACAACATAACTCGAATATCAACAGGGAACGGAAATCAACAGCTTGCACGGCATCACCCTTCGTGCTTTTAGTCTCGTACTCACCAAAATAATTATTTATCAAAGATGTGCACGGCACACCCTTCGTGCTTTTACTCTCTTTCCTCACCATGTAATCAATACAATCGGCACGGAATGGTACATCGTGCAGCACGGCATCACCCTTCGTGCTTTACACTCTTTCATCACAATATCAACAATGCACGGCATCACCCTTCGTGCTTTAACGCTCTTCCTCACCCAAACAACAATCACAAACAAGGGGCAAGGGAATAAACAAGATCATATAGAAATCCCGGCAAGGGAACAACAATTAAACAATTAAATCCCGCCAAGGGAACAATAATTAAATAATTAAATACTGGCAAGGGAACATTTCAATAGCTCTTTCTCTATCTTTCACTTCTACTTCATAACTCACACTACCACTTGAGACAATGCTCCAAAGGGTTCAATCATCTCATATACTTTCACAATTCATGATATAACTCGAGTCAATGCTCCAAGATGTTCAAAGGTCACCATTCCTTCCACAAACTTTTCACAACAACTAGAAATCATCACCAAGGCATGAAGAATACAACAAAATCAAGATATTCATAATATAAAGACTTACTGTCATGCTAGACACCAACGTATAGATGCTCGTCACTATGCCTATACGTCGTACACAACGAATACCACATAGCAAATAGGACTCAACTCCTAATCCCTCAAGCTAAGGTTAGACCAAACACTTACCTCAAACTTCCACGGCCAACTCAAGCCTCAAGTACCGCCTTTCCTTTCGAATTTGGCTCCAACACAATCGTATCTATACATAAATGCTAAACAATCCAATTTCAATGCTCAATTATAGCTTTTTAATCATTCTTCCCAAAAACCCAAAAATTGACCCCGGGCTCGCTTGGTCAAAATACGAGGTTCGGACCAAAACACGATCACCCATTCACCAACGAGCCCGAATATATCATTTGTTTTGAAATCCGACCCCAAAACGAGGTCAAATTCCCAAATAATTAAAAAGCCCTAACTCTACCCAATTCCCCAATTTTCTACTATTAAAACTCTAAGATTATTGATAAAAGTTGATGAAAAAATTAGATAATTGAAAGAAATCAGTTAATAAGTGCTTACTTGTGATTTGAGAAGAAAACCTCTTGAGAAAATCGCCCTAGTCCTCTAATTTTTGAGCAAGTTTGAAAGAAAATCGCTGAAGTTATGTTTTTAAAAAGACTCACTGCCCAACTTACGCATCTGCGGTTCAGGGGTCACATCTGCGCCACCGCACGTGCGGAAAAGTGGGCGCTTCTGCGGAAATGGCTAGGCCCCGCTGGGGCCCCACCTGTGAGAAAAGGCCCGCTTCTGTGGAACCGCATCTGCGGAAAAGTATCTGCATCTGCGAAGCAAGACCGCATCTGCGCCCACTGTGCGCACCTGCGTGTCCGCATCTGCGGCCAAAGGACCGGAGGTGCGGTTACACCAGAACTGGTGCAACAGCAGTGTTTCTGCAATTTTTCTTAAGTCTAAAACTTCCCGAAACACACCCGAGCCCTCGGGGCTCCTAACCAAACATACGTACTAACTGAACAACATCATTCGAACTTATCTGTGCGATCTAATCACCAAAATAGCCTCAATAATAACGAATTAAACCTCAAAATCAAAAGATTTTTCTCAAACTTTATAAAACATCAACTTTAGCAATTTAGGTCTGAATCACGTCAAACGACGTCCGTTTTTCACCAAATTTCACAGAAACATCTTAAATCATATATAAGACCTGTACCGGGATGCGGAACCAAAATACGGGCCCGATACTAACATGTTCTAATCAAATTTCATTTCAAATTTTCTTAAACAATTTCAGAAAACAATTTCTTTCAAAAATTCATTTCTTGGGCTTGGGACCTCGAAATTCGATTCCGGGCATACGCCCAAATCCCATATTTTCCTACGGACCTCCGAGACCGTCAACTCACGGGTCCGGGTCCGTTTACCCAAAACGTTGACCGAAGTCAAAATAACTCATTTTATGACCAAATTTTATTATTTTTCACAAATTTTTATATTTATGCTTTCCTGCTACGCGCTCGGACTGCGCACGCAAATCGAGACGAGGCTAAAAGAGGTTTTTAAGGCCTCGGAAGCACAGAAATAAAGATAGGAAATTTGACCAAATTGATGTAGACACAACACTCAAAGAGGACTGACACAAATTTTTGGCATTTGATTATGGGCATAAAAGATTTAACATAATCATGTAAAATCTTCAACAAACGGTATGGCGTGATACTAGCTATAAGAACCTTTTTCTATAAGCATCTGCTTTTAAAGGATAATTTTACTATAAGGGGTAAATTTTTCACTGAATAATTATGTGTGAACATAGGGTAAATCCATAATATTCACCCTAATATTTTAAACTTATGTAACTTGAACAGTCTTGATTCAGCACAATTTCAGCTTTCAAAAACTCATTTTTTTCAAGTTTCAACCAAACCTATATCAAAACGCTAGCTAAGGGCATATTTGGACCAAATTCAAATGGAGGACAAATTTATTTTATTTTCCATAGTTCAGGGACATTTTTTGCCCTTTCCCCATTAAAGTGCTACTCCATTATCTTCTACTTGTACATTTCCTCTTGAACACTTAATTTTATAGTAGTAAATTTAACCGTTATTATCAAATTGGTTATTACGTTTTAAGAGACATTCAAGGTTAATGTAATTTTTCTCCCAAAATCTCACGGCTCCTTTCAGTTGAAGTTGGTTTCAGTCACCATCAATTACAAAGTATTTTTTTTAAATAAAATATTTATATTTTTTTTCCACAAACTTTAGTGCTGTCTAGACGAATATAAAATCATAAAATGTACTATTAGAAGTTTTTGGGGCTTCAAAATTTTGGCCCCTTGAGCCGCCCGCCCCTCTAGTCGAAGGTAGAGGGACAAAAAATTACATGGCTTTACAACTATACAAAATTCCTTTGAGCACCAATACTAGGACAGCAGCCTTTTTCATAGACGAGAGGCACGACCCTCTGTCCAAGTAGTTGGGATTAACATCCTCCTATCATTTCTTTGTGTATGTCAAGTAAGGGTCTTGAGCAATACTTAAAACATCTGGCCTATCTGCTTGATTATATGTTAAACAACGACGAATGAACTCCTGCTCAAAATCCATAGAAAAGAGAGAATCAATTATACAAGAATAAGTGGCAGGAAGAAATAAAACATAATTCCATTTTGTCCTAGTAAATACTGTTTTCTGTTGGAATGTAACTTATCCATAGCTTAATTGAATTTTGTTTCATCAACCAGCTAGTATGCCAAGTGTTATGGCCTAAAGTAGTCATATGGGATACTAGACATAAGTTCCGAACCCTGATCCCAAATCTTGATATATACTAGAAGTCTTTGGTCTTGGTATGTTTGGACAACTCTCATACTGGCAATATAAAGTAGTCGAAGTGGACTGAGATAAGAGCATGGAGTCAATTTGAGCATCGGAGGATGTACTCGAATTGAAACCATATCTATTCTGTATCACTAAAAATACAATATAGCTATTTGCAACTTTAACCACATTCGGGGCATCAAATGACCCTAGAAGAGAAGGCAAACCATTGGTCGGTTGACTCATTTATCATATATAATCGGGTATATCTACTGCACATTGGTAACAATAACAATATCAACTGAATTTGAGGGCCACCAGTTGCTCTTGATAATGATTCACAAAAAGAAAGGGACAATTAATCATATCTTTGTCAGATAAGGATAGAAAAAAACGCACCTTTGCCTCATTAGAGACAGCTGGTCGTGTAGGGAATTCAACCTTTCTTGCTTTAATAATTGTGTCCTCCCTTAGTATTCTTTCTTGTGACTGGTCATGCCCAAAGGGACGTTTGCCAAACAGCATTTGGTACAACAAAATACCAGCTGACCAGACATCAACCTAGTTGCATAAATAAAAATCGCAAGTTTATTTCATAAACAAATAACTGTTCATTCGTTGGACTTTTAGGATAATTGCATCAATTAAGATTCAGACGCTGCATTAGTCCAAGACCATTAGAAATAAGAACTAAAGAAAATGTTGAGGACCTTTTTCCTGGATTTCAGTGGATACCTATTTAACTTTATTGACAAGTGAGAGCAAAGCAGGAGCACTCACCTTAGAGGATATAAGAGGTGTCTTGCTTAGCTCAAAGCATTCAGGAGGTAGATACCTGAAAAATCAATTGACAGAAATAGTGGACCTTATTAATACTTTACGGAGGCAAGAGATGAAAGCAAAAGTATGTTTCGAACTAATACACCTGGTAAACATAATGCTAAGTGTGACATTCAAAAATTTACCACTCACCAGTACGTTCCAGCTCCCTGGGAAGTTAGCTCCATCCCCTGGGATCCAACATCATCCTCCACTATCTTGCTAAGGCCAAAATCAGTGACCTTAGCAATGCCAAACTCATCAAATAAAACATTGCCTGGCTTCAAATCATAATGGATGATCTTCTGTGACTTCTTATTCAAGTAGACAAGGCCTTGAAAAATCTGCACAATGATGATTCTTGCTTCTCTTTCTGGCAACACAGGTGTTGCTTTGAGAACTGCATCAAGGTCCTTTCCTACAGACAAGAACATTTATGACCAATATGAGAGAGGGAATCCTAAAATACTTCATTCCACTGAGCATAATAACAATTGTACTATATAATTTTTTTTTAATTTTTCTATTGTACTATATTGATTATGCAATAAAGAGAGTAACAAACCACTACAGTACTCCAAGATAGTGCAAAAGGTGTTTTGGTCTATCTCAAAAATGTCCCAAAGCCGCACAATGTGATGGTGCACCAAAGTCTTGTGGATGTTGTACTCCCTGATTGCATGCCGTATATAACTTTGCTTCTTCTCTTCACTCCACTGAGCATTTAGTCCATGTAGCTTACATGCAACATATCTATGGTCTACCAAGTCGAAAGCCTGCCAGAATTTTGCAATTTGAAGTGAATGGAACGATATTTTGTCTCAACCTATTTACCAAATAAAAGAGGTCTACATTGCAATTTTGGTGACTGATCATTCTATTGGTTTTCTTTGACTGGAAATAAGACGAGCAGTCACTTTAAAATTCCTACCTTGTACACCTCACTAAATCCTCCTTTTCCAAGAAGGTTTAAGAGGGCATATCGGTGGTTCAAAATCTGAAAATTGTTAAAACGAGAACCATCTTCATCGCGTATGCGTTTCATTTCACGAATTAGCCTTCCTTTCTCTAGTTCATATCGGTCCCTCTCACGCATTATCACATCTTCCTCCTAATTAAAAAGAAAATGTGGTGTGAAGCATGGACAAAGAACTGACATGTGGACAAATATTCAAAAAAAAAAAAGAAAAAAAAGAGAGAACAGTTACACGTTTGATGCTGGCTAAACGAGACTTGTAGATCTCATCCTGAATGAGAGAATCTTCTTCCTGCAAACCTCCCTCCACATCTCCTCCATCACTTTTATCTGCAATGGTAGGGTAAGCATTATTGCTAGTAACCTTTTATACCTCAAGAAACATAGTTGAGACAGTCCAGGAAATTGAAAAATCAAATGAACAGCTATTCCTGCTGAAATTTTGACAAAACTGTCATGAACAAGAAGCCCAACGTGGAAGTCCTTTTAATCAGAGAATACTTCCAAGCTGACAAGACAGAAGCAACTATAAATTATAATAAGACAGGACCTCCAGCAAATGTTGCTGAAACCACACTCAAGCAAAAGATGACAATAAATAAAATATGTGCTTAAAGCTCCAGCGTTATTCTAATGCCAGCTGACAAGACAGGAATGAAATTGAAAATCACCCCAACATGTCTTGACCTTTGGAATGCCATGCAACCACTTAACACAAAGCAGATTCAAGTCCAGAAAATATAGTAAAAGAAGTTTTAGAGGTCTAGTACCATTACTAAAAAGCATACAGGTTAGGGACATTTTCAGGAGGAAATCACATTCATGCACCAAAATAACACCATTTCTGGCCAGAGAAGGAAAAATGAGAAAGTACATATGATTCAAAGGGAAAACTTTACCTGGTTGTCGTTTCTTGAGCAATTTACGCTGCCGTTCAATAGCTTCTTTAGTTTCTAATAAGTTTCTCTAAAGAAAAAAAAAATCCATTAACAATAATACCTATTGAATCTAGGCATATAATAAGCAATGATTAGCAGTGTAACTAATATTAAACAGCAGAAACTAAATAGCACATAGGATAAGTGTGTATTGGGCTTATCGGTGAGTTCAGCTTGCAAGAAATCTAACAAAAGTTTCTTCGAAATAGAACTAAACTGGAAAATGTCCAAAGTTACTTGGCCTGCTTTCCTTTTTATCCATCAATTTTACTGACCTCCTTCCCTGATGGACAACTCTTGTGCGTTCTAGGATCCAGGCAGAATAAACTAGTGCCAGTTCGTCCTTCTTATTAGTGGTGTTGTGTGGTGTGTTTTCAACTAATTATAGCCCTTCATCAAATTTTAAACTGTTATTTAAATTTTTTAGTTGAACTCTTAGATTTCAGTATACTAACTTTTCCTAATTTCAGTCTCCCCTTCTTTTGTGGACATGGTTGTTAAGACATAAGTTGAAGCTCTATTGTACTGTATAAGCTAAACAGAAGTGTAGTAACTATGTTAATCGTCAGTATAGACACCTTAATATATCCCTATAATGAAAAACAAGCACTCTGTTGCGAGAACACCAAATTAAGGAACGTACAAGCTGAGCATTGAGGTCCTTTAGTGCTTGCCCATCTTCCCAGGCCTCAGAAATAATGGTTCCAGCTCTGCAATTAACCAAAGAACATAAAGAACAGAAAACAATCAGCAGTCACAAAAATGAAGAGGTTAGATTAAAATGATACTAAGAGGAGTTTGACATACAGGATACTGATATTATGGAGTTCTAATGGTACACCTGTTTCATATGTATCATCTACAAAATCACAACTACAATCAATCAGTTAACTACACCTCAATCCATAGTTGTGATTGGATAATATGAATCCTCTGTCTACTTTGCTCTATTCAGACCATTCATTTTCAACACTAGAATATTTGTCCTTTAAGACATAATAGAAGTTCTCTCAAGCTAGAGTTTTCTACGCCTCAAACTTATTCCTAGGCAGACCTACAAGTACCACAACAACAACAACAACAAGTCTCTAACTAAAATAAAAAATTACTCGTAAACAACACACCTAAAGTAAGCTAATAATAACAATTAAACCTTACTCCAAATTAGTTGTTATTAATCATACAGATTTTCTGCTTCCATAGTATTCTATGTTTTATATGTGTCCGCATCTGAAAGATTGTAGGTGTTCTAAGTCAACTTCTTTCCATGTCATTTTAGGTTATCTCATTGTTTTATTATGTTACCTTCGCCCATTATAGTGTTGCACCTACGGACTGGTGATATGCAAGTTTACATAAAGATATGGCCAGATGAAACTCTGTTTTGTTTAATCTTCTATATGTGCTACTTGCGAAGTGGATGTGATCACTCTAATTTTGTCCAATCTTGTACATCCATCTTAAAATTCACATTTTCACAATTTCATCTAGGGATATGGTAGACCTTAGATGCCCAACATTTACTCCCATACAACATTGTTGGTCTCTCAACCTTTATACAGAAATTACCTTTCTTTTTGTTATGTATCTTCCTTTTTGAATATCACTCCTGTAGCATACCTCTATTTCAGACATGCAATTTTAATTCTTTTTTTCTTTCTAAAAAGTCATCCTGCTGTGGTTCTATCTATTGCAGTTTTTGAGAAGAGTGGTTCTATCTATTACATTTGCATCTATTATGCCTTCTCCTGCACGACTAAGCTTAGGTATCTTGATATTTGTGTTTAGACATCACAATCCCGTCAAATCCCACTTCACCTTTATTTTTTATTTTTGTTGTGGTAGCTAAACTTGGTGCATATATTATGTCTTTCTTCTACTTATCCTAAAACCTCATTATCTAGAGTGCTTATCCATAGTTTCAAACTTTGATTCACTCTCTTACTGGTTTAGTCATTTAACCTAATGCCCTACGAAAATAACATGCACCATGGAATCCATCATTATACGACTGTAACAAGAACCTCAATCCCAAACTAATTGGGGTTGACTATATGTAAATGACTGTTAGCTCATCTATAACTAAGGTAAACAAGTACCGACTCAAGAGAGATCCTCCGCGTAAACACAATTATAGGAACTCCTCTGTACCTTCTCTCACTTCTCACACTTGTGAATGCTCCTTCACAAATATCCTTTATGGAACTTGTATGATTGATATGAATTTTTTTCAAACGAAAAGATATTTATTAGTGCTCTATCATCTGCTTTAGTTAGGCCAATGAATATCATATGCAGATCTTTCTGTCTGTTCCTATAGAATATCACCCATCTTCTTATAAAAAATATAACCACTACTGCAGATCGATTAAGCATAAAATCAAACAGGTTCTCATTTCAGATATACTTTCTTACTAATTTGGCATCTTTTCATTCTTAAATATGTCATTCAATACCTTGGTTCGCCATACTACTACAACTGCTTCAAAGCCACTTCCAAACGTCTATGAAGATATCACCAGCCCTTTCTGGGCCTAAATGGTACCCCTAGTAAATTGTTAAGTGCAAGGATCAAGACTCCAAATTCCCTTACCAGAAACTAACAAGATACTTGAATATTTTGGTTCTAAGTTTTCCCTGGCAAGGTAAGCAAAATAGAGGTAACGCAGTACACATAGTGCATAGTCTAGAGAATCTACTTCTTACTCCTTGGATTGATAATGATAGCACATAGTCATCTGGTATACATGTCCAGTGAACTACGGATATCAACCCACATAAACCGTAAAGCCATTCTTTCTTTCAAGATATTTCGTTTTGCTTCCATTTCTTTTTCAGAATTAACTTGACTAGCATCTTACATAAGACAAAAGCTCCAGTTTAACCTACAATCTTCTGCTGGCATCCTATGGTTAAACCATGACCAAGTCCATTGTAAGCACCTTCAACATTCATCACTATATTCCAAAAGCGAATGTGCTTTTTGAGCAATAACTTGCTATGCAACACTTCAGAAAGAAATCATGGAAATCTCTTAAAGCATGGTCAGAACAACAGTTGGGGAATTTTTGAAGCATGTGACCTTCAACTGATACCATAGTGCTAAACAATTCAAAATCCCTAGAGACAACACAGAGTACATTTGCAGACAAGAAGCAGAAATACAGGCTATATTTTGCATATTAGATTAAGTATCCTTCGCTTCCAAAGCGTCGAAATATTATAAAGCATTTCCCCTCATATCAAATATAAAATGAACACAACAGATAAACAAAGGACAGCATCGTTGGAGATGAGTGAACACTTTGATACTTTAGCAAAATTCTACCATTAGATCAAAATGTGACGCTTATATAACACTGGGCACTCTATAAAAAGATTTTCTGTTGATGGGTAAACAAACTTTCTTTAAGTAGGTTTGATGAGGAAATATAATTGCTGGCACCTTCCTATGGACAGCTTAGTTGAAGTCATCTGTTGAACTTATTATATACACTAGACCAAGCAGCAAATTGCTTGCTCTAAGTAACACGTGATAAGGATGAGGTACCTGATTACTCCCACGTTGCCCAGTCTCAAAGATTCCTGTCGCACTTTCATTCGTGCCTCTTGCCTCTCAGCTTTTGAAACAGATATTAACAATTCAGATATTATTTTCGTCCTCTGCAGAATAAAATATATGTATGAACCACTGCCATGAGGAAATACAAATAAACAGGAATACATCAACCATATTTCTTCAGATTTTTTTTTTATCAAGTAAATAAAATTCACATCAATGATAGGGCCAAACAAAAAGTGCCCGTATACGAGAAGTATACCAAAAAGTAAAAAAACCTACCAAAAAATAAGGTTCTCTACGAAGGACACCCAATATTCTATACAACAACGAACTTCATGGGTGCACCAAAAGAAAATAAGGGATAGGAGGCTACTCCTCAACTGAACAAAACTCATCTCTACCCCTTCAAAAGCTAATATGTTTCTTTCCCTCCAAATAAACTGATGGGGCAACAGATGGGTTGAATGGGCAGAACTCAAAGCCAGTGGCACTAGGGGAGGGATAGTTACGATGTGGGACAAAAGACAGTGGAAATGCATTGAAATCCAACAGGGAACTCACTCTATATCAAGTATGCTTGAGAACACACAGGAGACTTTCAGATTTTGTTTCACAGGGGTGTATGGTCCACACTCAAACTGGGAAAGGGAAGAACTATGGCATGAATTGGGAGCTGTTAGAGGATTATGGGATGAACAATGGGTGATTGGAGGTGATTTCAACGTTTGTAGATTTGAAAGTGAAAGGCACAATTGTGTGAGAAGATCACGAGCCATGAGAGGATTCTCTGATATCATCCAGGATCTATGCTTAGTAGATTTACCATTACAGGGAGCTTACTTCACCTGGTCTAGAGGGGAGGATAATATCCAAGCCTCAAGAATAGACAGGTTCCTTATATCATCTGAGTGGAATGATACCTTTCGAAAGATTAAGCAAATTGCTCTTCCTAAAGTTATATCAGATCACAACCCTATCATGCTGGAGAGTGGGGATTGGGACTCTAACCCATCCTACTTTAAATTTGAAAACATGTGGCTCACTACAGAAGGTTTCCTGGAAAAGATCAAGATATGGTGGCAGAGTTATGATGTCAATGGCACTCCTGACTTTATTTTGGTGCAAAAATTGAAGCTCCTGAAGAAAGACCTTACTATCTGGAATAGAGAAGAATTTGGCAACATTGCAGTGAAAAGGGGAAAAGCATTAGAGGAGCTTTCTCTCTTGCAACAACAAACAGAAGGAAGAGCTCAATCGCAGGAAGAAAAAGCCAATATTATGGAACTCCAAGCGGAAATTCAGCAACTGGCTAGAGCAGAAGAAGTATCTTGGAGACAAAAATCTCGATGCTTGTGGCTCAAAGAAGGGGATAGAAACACCAAATTCTTTCATAACGTGGCCAATTCCAACAGAAGAACTAATTGTATTGATAGACTCAAAATGGGGGATGACATCACTGAAGATAAAGATCTAATTAGGGGTGAGATTCTAGAATTTTATCAACAGCTCTACACTGAGAATGAAGGCTGGAGACCTACTACAAGACTGGAAGATGTAGCAACATTAAATGGGGAAGAGAAGGTATGGCTAGAAAGGCCATTTGAAGAGGCAGAGGTTTTGGCTGTAATTAAGAATTGTGCACCTGATAAAGCTCCAGGTCCGGACGGATACACTATGGCATTCTATCAGAAAGCATGGGAGGTGATCAAGGATGATATCATGGGAGCCCTTCAGCACTTTCACCAGAATGGCAACCTAGTTAGATCATGCAATGCCACTTTTATAGCACTAATCGCGAAGAAGAAAGGAGCCCCTGAGCTGAGAGATTACAGGCCAATCAGTTTGATTGGTAGTGTTTACAAAATTGCCTCCAAACTCTTAGCAGAAAGGTTAAAACGGGTGATAGGAAAATTGGTGTCTAGTCATCAAAATGCTTTCATAAAAAATAGACAGATCACAGATGCAGCTCTTATAGCTAATGAGATATTGGATTGGAAGATGAAGTCTGGGCAACCTGGTCTACTTTTCAAACTTGACATAGAAAAGGCATTTGATCGACTTAATTGGACCTATCTGATAAATACACTAAGAAGGATGGGATTTGGTGAATGTTGGATTAGATGGATCAGATTTTGTATCACTACAGTGAAGTACTCAATCCTGATCAATGGTGGACCAGTTGAATTCTTTTCTCCTCAAAAAGGCGTCAGACAGGGAGATCCTCTATCTCCTTTCTTATTCATCCTTGCTATGGAAGGGCTTAGCAAAATGTTAGATAAAGCAAACCAGCTTCATTGGCTAGATGGTTTCAAGGTGGGAAGTGCAGATGGCAACTTTGTTACAATCTCCCATCTGCTCTATGCAGATGATACTTTGATTTTTTGTGGAGCTGAAAAATCACAGGTCTTATACCTCAATCTTACACTTATGATCTTTGAAGCTATCTCAGGCCTACACATGAACATGTTGAAGAGCATCATCTACCCAGTCAATTCAGTTCCAAACTTGGAAGAGCACGCGGAAGTAATGTGTTGTAAGGTGGGCTCTTTCCCTACGACATATCTGGGTCTTCCTCTGGGAGCTAGATACAAAGCTCTAGGTATCTGGAATGGAGTAATTGAAAAATTTGAAAAAGAGCTTCCTGGAAAATGCAGTATCTTTCTCTGAGTGGTAGAATTACACTCACCAATAGTGTGTTGGATAGCATTCCTACCTACTTCTTGTCCCTTTTTCCAATACCAGCTAAGGTCCAGAGGAGACTTGATCAACTAAGGAGAGTTTTCTATGGGAAGGAAATAGTCAAACTCACAAATTCCATTTGGTTAAATGGCCAAGAGTTATTCTCCCCAAAGTGCATGGAGGGCTAGGAATAAAAGATCTCACTTTACACAACAAGAGTTTGTTAATGAAATGGCATTGGCGGTACAACATGGAGAACCCTGGGCTGTGGAAAGTTGTAATACAAGCAAAATATGGGGTGGCAAATAACTGGTGTACTAGACAGAGTAGACTGCCACATGGTTTTGGGCCATGGAAACACATTTCGAAGTTATGGGGTGACTTTCAACTCAAGTCATCACTCAAGCTTGGGAATGGAACTCATATCTCTTTCCGGAAAGATAGATGGTTAGGGTCAGAGATCCTGAAAGACGAACACCCAAGTCTATTTCTATTGGCTAGCAACAAGGATTCCGACTACTTGAGCG